CGATTTTTGTATGCTTCTCGCCGATCGATTCGTTTCCGTTTCGCTGGAAAGCATTTCGTTGCGCTACATCGATTCAACATACATATACAGTTTCTGATGCGGCGTTATTTTAATAATAGCGCATAGAAATTTGTGGTTAAGCTTGAAATTTAATTATCGTCTTGTTAATAAGGCACGTTATATAACTACAAATTGCAACGTATGTATGTTTGACTTAATACACAGTACGTTTCGTGTATGAAATCCTTTCTTCTTGTTGTGACAATTAGCGATGAGTATGTACGGACATTACATAATATGTTATCACAGAAAGATATTAATTCAAACGGCGATATGAGCAGAAATAAAAGTAGAATTGAAACATGAGATTGTTTGAGTTTCTTTATTCATTTGTTACATGGTATTTAGCTGGAATTTCGAAGAATAAAATTGAGGGACAACTCATGGACATACCGTAACCTCGAAAAATCCACGGTATACCGAGAGTATAGATTCCGTGCATACATGTGATATTTTTTGCGGAGCGGTACGTGCCGAAAAGTAAGAGACGATATTGTCACCAAATCGATACGAGGTGTTAGAAAATGCAGCGGAACGCGTCATTTCTCTGTCATTCGGTACATTTGGATTTGACTTGAGAAGGAGAGAGTAACAACTCGAAATATAACGTTCGATCTACGTTATACACTCGCGCAATTTCGATTATTACTATACGCATGTAACGGAACAATCAAGTTTTTACTATTTTATCATGTATTCGTCGGTCAAACGTCTTGAGAGCATACAATTGAGAAAGTTTTAACGTGTACTAGCATTGTAAGAGTTTTATCCTGCGCGCGAATATATCTAAATTATGTTACCCACCTTATCGAATACTCGGATTTTCTTCGCGGACCTGCGGATAAACACAGGAAGCACAATAACACTATGTCACATGAACGAATATTCGTAAAAACCACATAAAACAACGATACAATCACCTCACGAAACGTCACACTCACTTTGGTCGGGCGGCCATTTTACTACACACGACCCGAGTAAAGAACATTTTGATCTACAAGAGATAGAAGCTTGAAGTTAAATCCACTGCAGGTTACTAGTGACTTTCGAGGTACCAATATAACGGAGATACTTTTACGATATAGTGAATATATTTCTACCAATGAGATATGTTCAGAAATTGAATGGTAAAACGAATAATACACCATTCTACGTTTTTTGATGTTCAGCTACGAATGACATTCGATAATCGTTTTTTGAATGGTCAAATATTACATTGCCATTCACTTATAACTATACATGACAATTGTGTATATACGTTTAGTTGCTGACACTTGGTAGTGTTCCATGTAATTTTCATTGGATAACTTTATTCTAATGTGCTTTTTGAATCAAACCTTGCCATATGGCAATAGTGCATATTTAATTCGGAATAAATTTATATAAAAAAAACTAGTTTATAATTAGATAGTCGAAATGGCGCCGCAATTGCAAATTTTATCTAATGTTATAGAGGTAATATCCATGGGTATTTAGATTTTTTACATTTTTTGTAATACCAATTAATTACCTGGGTAATGTAAATTACAGTGTATTTAAAATTTTTTATTTTTCAGCGTTTAAAAAATGTAAAGGATGGTGTACTGGGTCATCTCTATGGTGTTATGTATAATAATACATTAACAGTGCTAACATTTAGTGTAAATGTATCGGATGATATGGAATACAATATAAATCATACCACATTACAATTGCATATGCCAGCAGAGGTATACCTTTGTGGCATTTTGCACATTGGTCAATGTGAAGGAAAGCTTCCTGATGCATTTCAGGTATAACATAATCAAACATATCCTTTTAGAAAGGAAAGATTGTCAACATTAGATTTATGAACTTATAATACATTATTTATTTAGGACATTGATATCACAGATAATCCACTTTTTTTGAAATATGCACGTAACAATTCAAGTATAGAGGCATATTTTTATATTCATCTAAAACTTGAACCTGTTAATGAAGTAAAAATTATTGATGAAAATGATATTCGCAGAGAATTTATGTACATTCGATTAAGAGGAAACCTGCCATTAACTGCACAAAATGATAACATAATGGAAGTGTTAGAAGAATCAAGGAAAAAGGCAAGTGATTCATGTTTTATTAAAAACCTAAAAAAATTGTCTTTACCTGTTTTATGTTGTAAACTCATTTTTTTTTTTAACAGATTGCATCAGGAAAACTAGGAATTCATTTTCCATCAAAAAATGCTTTTCTTTTCAATAATGAAAACAATCCAAGGGAAGTATCATTAAGAGAAATTTTAGACATATCTGAATATTATGAAGGAACTACAAATGTAAGGAGGGGCACTATAAGACCTGCAGGAGTAGTGGTATGCTTTTTGATATTTGTTAAAATATTTGTTATACTCTTGATTTTTTTTTAAACTATACTATTATTGAATTTAATAGGATGCTGTAAATGCTAATATACTTTTAAAGTTATCTGGAGATAGACTTTCTGAGGATCATACTAAATTTGCTCCAGTTCTTCAATATATAAAACGTAATAGTTATAATGTTTATTAAACAATAATAAGTATTAATATTTGTAACTATGCAATTATCAAATCTAATAAAATATATTGATGTTGTAGGACCATTGAATAGCTTGGAATGTAATTTGTCCATTGATACATTGTCTTTGGTCAATATCAGTGTCAGTTCAGGAGATTTGTATGGAATACTGGTAGAATCTTTGTGTCGGAATATTAAATTAATAGAAAATTGTTTTGAAAATCAGCTTAAAAAATCAGAAA